CACTCAACCTTCGGTTGCAATCCTCAAGTCGATCATCACAATCACTTCCTTCTTGAGTCACGCGACTCAACTGGCACTACCTCAAGCAAGGCCCTCAAGACCTTAAAATCAACTAAATCATCTAGTTTTGCATCATTCAAAACAAAACTAACTTGGCCACTGAGGCCCAAGCAATTCACCATGCCCTTCCTTATCCCCACCAACCATAATCGATAAAACCAAATAAGACGGAAACACATTGCATGAATCATGGTGTCGAACCATACAATCTACCCTCAATCAGCTCCTTAGAATCCCCGAACGTTTTCCTCGATTCGAGTATGGATCATGTGCTTTCAGTAGTATGGGCCCAATACTATATTCCATACTTATCAATACTTTCCTCCAGAATCGTCCCGGATCCTCTAAGTAACTAGTCATGTCCACTACCGACTGATCCAATCCCATATACTTAATCTCAAACGAATATACACCTCTAAAGAGCGCACCAATTCCTCTAAGGCGCTTCTTAGACTCTCTTAGGATTCCCACCTCACCCTGCCATCAGTTGCTGAAGAACCCCTACTAATACCGGCTAACTACTTCATGAATACAAATACATGCAACAAAACTTAAATAATCTTTCGAATAAAAGACCCAACCCTACAATGGTTAGACTCAAACGAGAGCTGGACAATAGGTCTAAATCAATCATTCTAGAATTATTTAACCTTTACAGTATGTAACTAAACATATTCATTTAATAGTTACCCCACATCGATATGGGTCCCACAAAGCATAAAGCGAGCAACATTCGGGAAGTAACATTCTATAGGCCATAAAACATAAAAAGGCACCCTCCCACTAACTTGCTTTTGCAATGCTAGGAACCTCTACCAACATTTCTAATCTTCCTAGATTCTCCTTCTAGAATCTCTTTTTCGAAAATGCTCACACAAGCACATCCTAACATTCTTCATAGGCTTTCCTAGGGCTCCCTTCACACCGCTCTCTGCTATCAGCTGCAGAAGAGACTCACTCTAATACCTTCTAACTACCTCATGAATACAATTACATGCCACAGGCACTAGACAATTCTTCAACTGCAAGGTCTCACACTACAACGGTTGGACTCAAACAAGAGCTACGCAATAGAGTTAAACCTAACCTTCTAAAATTATCTAATCCCTGCAACATGTAACCTAACGTATTTGCTTAATAGTTAGCCGATATTATTGGAGGTCCCTAAAACCACAAAGCAAGCAACATTCAAGTATCAAGTAATCTAAATCAATGCCTCACTTAAATCATGCCATTCTATCAAAAAATCTGAAATCCATACGAGCATGCAGTTCCTAAAGCTCAATCAACAGGCATATAAATGCATCTCTCCTAGCATTCTATCATGCAAATCCTAAGCATATCCATATCCCTAATATAGCATGCAATTCTCATATACTCATACCAAAACAATAAGCATATCACATGTATGGGTATTTTGGTAAAAACTTACTTGAGCTCGACTGATTGCATGCATCGCACCCCTTTTTTCATAGAAAACGTTTTTTGAAAATCGTTTTCTTTTAAAATATTTTAGAAATCCTAATTTTGATTTCAGACTTACCCGAGAGTGTGCCCGAATCTCAAACCAAAGCTCTGATACCAACTTGTAACGTCCCAAACTTTCCGAGTAAAAATTTTCATTTTTAAATAAGTCAAAACCCTCCATTCATTATCCCAAAAGACAAAGATAATAAAAGTAATCTCAAAATATCAGAGTAAAATCAAAATAGTCAATGCAGAATAAATCTCCATGGGATGCAATGCGATCAATCTGGTCCCTTCCTTTTAAAACCAGAAGCACCTGAAAACATTTTAAATATATACCGTAAGAACAAAGCTTAGTGAGTTCCCCAAAATACTCCATCCATACATACATAACAATACAAAACTAAACTGGGTCTATTTCACCTCCTTCGGTCTCTTTCAACTGGTATTGGGTGTATTTCACCCCATTCGGTCTCTTTCAACCGATACTGGTTCTATTTCACCCCATTCGGTCTCTTTCAATCGGTATTGGGTCTAATTCACCCCTACAGCTAAGCATACAATCACATAGCAAGAGTCACAAAGACAACAAACACCTATATGAATAACAGTAAGTGTCACAAAGACAACTATCATCCTGCAAACATAATCCAATGGGTTGGCATTGGTGCCTTCGACCTACGAGTACAGTGAACAAACTCACCATGCAGAATAAACCACAGCTAAACAGTACCCACATTTGAAGAATGGTGCTAACACCTCCTATCAATCCATACAAGGTAAACCCTTACTCTACCTTCTAAAACTAACAATTGGCCAAAAGTTAACCAAGTCGAAAATCAGCCCTCAAGGTAATCAGTCAAACCCATCATCAACTCATCTCCATGTCGTGGCCAGCCCATGGTCACGTCCTGGCTAACAAAAAAACCCCAATCCAAGCTTCAGACGTCCTACACGTCGTGGCCAGACCATTACCATGATATGGCGTGCACCAAACAAACAGATCATGTATAACATAATCGTCATGTCGTGGCACCATCCTGCCACGCCGTGGCCGCTTCCTTTGGGACAACTTAACTAATAAGTCCTTAATCATTTGATCCACTCATCCAAAACCTTCTGGAAGCTATTCATACTCCTAGAACATCCTAAAAATTGTTCCTTTTCAAACATGCATGACCTATGCAAGTCTTGGGCTTAAGTTTGACCAAGAGGGTGAAAAAGAGGTCAAAACCTCAAGCATGGAAAAAAAACCTTACCAATTCATAGATCCAGAATATATGATGACCAAGGGACCAAAGTGAGCTATAAAGTTGCAAACTTTATCTCTTTCAACCATCCAAAACTTAACTATAGACCAAAACATACCAAATAACCTAGATCTATAAGGTAAACATCATCAAGATGAAAACTTAAGAACTCACAATTGATCCAGAAGATTCACGCAAGGAGTAGAGATAAGTAGATTGCTTGATCTATGCACAAAACCTCATTATTTTTCCTTCCAAGGCCACAAAAACACACCAAATGAGTCAAAAGCTTCAAAGAGGGCTAGGGTTTAGATTTCTGGGTGTTGGATGTTGTTAAGAGGTGAAACCCTAACTACTACTTCCTTTAAATAAGGTGTCAAACCCGGAATTTAGGGTTTAGGCCTCCAGACGGCTGCCACGTCGTGGCCAAAAGAATGCCACGTTGTGGTGGCTTAAATGATTCCGCGACCAATTTGCCCCACCACATCGTGGTGGTTCCTCCACCACGTCGTGGCAACCCCCTTAACTCACAAATCAACAAATAAAATATATTTCAAGAATCCGGGTGTTACAAGTTCTTTCTTGATAGTCTATGTTTGTGTTGTTTTTGTATGCTATGTTCTAGCTTCTCGCTAGTTTGTTGTTTTAATAAATTTTTAGTCGTTAAAAAAATAATTTTGTTATTTATGTAAGGGTTAATCTTAAAAAAAACATTATATTTTGTGTTTTTTCCTGATTAAATCTCATTTTTTTTTGCCTGAAAAAACTTTGTATTTTTTCACTTTTCTCGAAAAGCCATCAACTTTATATTTTTTTTTTGAAAAAAACCTTCAACCTTCTGACTGTTTCCAAATAAACCTTTAACTTTTTTAGTTTTTCTTGAAAAAACTCATACATTTTACAATTTTTTTTGGCAAAAAATAACTAAAATGGTCAAATCGGGAAAAATGAAAAAAATACAAAGTGTTTTTCAAACAAAAAAAAAATTAAAGTCTAGTCCGGAAAAAACATAAAATATAAGGTTTTTTTAGATTAACTTTTATGTAAATATTGCAATATTTATATATAAAAATGATATTTATATAATTTTTATTTCAAATAGTTTACTATAAAGGATTAATAATATATTGTGTTATATGCATTCGAAGTTTTTCTATTAGAAAGAAATTTTTCTCGCTATTTAAAGGAGGAAGGACTAAGGAGTCGTTCCCTCCCAACTTACTGCCAAATCATTTTTTCTTTTTTCTCTACTCTTTTCTATCTCTCTCAACCCACAACACATGGAAACCCACTTGATTAAACAAAATACAAAACAATTAAGGTATAAGTCTTAATTAGCAATAGAGCTACTACGGGTACATCCAAGATATCACTTCCTCTTCAGTGGGTTGGGAGGGTTAGGAGTGGTGAGTTATTTAATTGGTTTCCCTAACCCGTTTCATCATCTCTCTATTTTTTCTCTCTCATTTTCTCTTGTACCATGTGTTTTAAGACTTGTACCTTACTTGTTTTGTATTTTTTTTAACTGAATAGATTGAAAAAGATGAGATTTCGGTGTGTTGGGTTGGGAAAAATAAAGAAAAAAAGAGAGAAAAAATGATGTGGTAGTAGGTTGAGTGGGTTGGGAGGGAATAACTCTTTCCTCCCTAACAACGTAAACAAAGAACACTGAATCATTCAAAAATGATTCAGAACTCTTAATCATTCAATTATTACCAAAAGCCCCTCACTTTTACCTTTGACATGGACTTGTTATCCATTAATAACAGAAAGTAAATTAAAATAAAATATAGAACATTTCTTTTACTATCTGATATTACATTTAACTGCCTAAAAATAGCAAACTTATAGAACTTATGTAACATTTTTTATTATATAAATAAAAAAAGGTTTTGTTACTCTAAAAATAATTAAAAACAGATATTAATTTTGTATTAATTGATAAAGTGGCGAAATCTTGAAATTCTTTTTGCAGTTAGTTTTAAAATAAATGAGGATTTCTTTAATCGGTTTTGGAGCGTGAAGTACAAACAAATTAAGCACTTCTATGTTCAGTCACGGGTCTCCCTGATTTCCGCCACTTGTCCCTTTTCTTCCTCAATTCCACCCCGCTTCGTCCATTCCACCATTTTTATATACCACCATTTCTCTCTTCTCTAACCTTCGGACTTCCGACACCCAAACCCCAAATCTCTCCTTCCATTCACTGAGACAAACAAAACCATGACCAATGACCTCAAAACACCACCTGAAACCGCCATACAGCTACATAATGATCAAACCCCAACCACCAAAGTTGCTGCCGAGGCTGAAACAGGCACCATGAGTGGATCGTTGAGGCCATTGGTTTCTTCCAGCTCCACCACAAAGTTTTCACGGAATTATCACGTAATGTATATCGGTTTACGGCTTGTATGCTTCTCTGCGTCGTTGATTTCAGTTGTTGTAATGACTACTGCCAAACAGAAATCGAGTATCTCAGTTTTTGGATTTGATCTACCGCTTAACTCCAGGTGGTCCTTATCTGGCTCCTTCCAGTAAGTCCTTCCTCTAGATTTCTGTGCTGAATTTGATCAGTTTAGTTCCATTAACAATACACAATAGTTATACTCCTTCGAACAGATTTTTTCATGTTATGTGTAGTTAAATTTCGTATACTTATTGAAGTTTACATCAGAAATTGGCATGCGATGTTTGAATTCTTACGTCTTCTGAAATTTCGATCAGAAATTGAACCTGGAATCTGGATTCAAACAATTTATTCATGATGTTTTATCGTTGAAGTCTAACATTTTTCGAAAGTTATATAAGAGATTAACATGTAAAGTCTGGAATCTGGAATATGTATCGATCATCCTTAACTACACTGATTCAATTTTCAACTTGGATCAACACAATTTCTCGTTGTGTTGAAATCTTGCGTTTTTTGTAAATTAAACTAGATTCGTCCTGCTTATTGATCATCGACTGATCTGATTCAATTTTCGATTTCCGAGCATCTTTCATTGCGATTTCCCAATAGCAATCAAACTTTTAAATTAGGTATTCGTGGTATTAGCTACTCGTGATTCCTTTATTCTGTTGAATTGGTATCTCGATGGACAACGACACCATTGTCAGTTATGCCAGAGCACATGCATAAATTACTTGTTTCACTTCAATCATGAATTCCACAAACGATGCAATCGTCTTCCAACTTTTGCACTCCTAAGACCATAAACCAAAAAAAAAAAAAAAAAAAATCAAAAAAATCTTCCATCGAAATAGAAATTATAATCAATTGTGATCTTCGTATGTTTTTCATGCATATTTCGGCTTCCCAAGTGGTTTAATTTGCATTATCTAGCTACCTATCAAGGAGTAGTTAGAACGTATACATTTCTGATGAACCAAAAAAGCAAAAACATACAATTGGAATGACGTTATGGGATATGATAAAACAGCAAATGCGTGTGTGTTTAAGTTGCTTGAGTTCATGTCCATTTGGTGATCCTCCATTTTCTTGTGTTGACTTTGACTGAAAAAACTTGAGTTGATGCACTACACAGGTATGTGGTTGGAGTATCATCCGTTGTTGGAGTCCACTCTCTTGTTCAACTAGTAATGACCATTTCAAGAATGCTAAGAAAGTCATTGGTTTTTTCCTCTAGAAGCCATGCATGGCTTATTTTTGCTAGCGACCAGGTATCAATAAATTTAGTTATGAATTGTATGTTGATTTGGAGATTATTGAGTTATAGCACATAAACCGAATCAGACCGAAACAAATTTTTTCTTTAAATCTAAAAACCGGACCACCCAGAAAAAAAAAATTAGGGTTGGCACAAAATGATATTCCATGTAACATATAATAAGATAGCAAAAATAGAAATTACAATTTTGTTCTAGGTTCTACCAAAATGGTGGGGGTAAGGGATTGCGCTCCTTGGGTCCTAGGATAGCGCCTTAGCCAAGGTCCAACTGAGAATAAGCAGGGTCCAATGGAGCCACCCTTGTAATGTGCGGGTAACCCCCAAACTTTAAAATTGGATTTTATTAAGAGGAATAATGTGACAGTCTTGACAATTTTTATGTTGTGATATGTCCACACAAGACTAAGATGGACCAAGACACAAGTCCAATAACAAATTACCAATAGATTAGAGATGGACTAATGTCTGATGGATTAATTTTGTTTAATTTAATTTGAGAAATCTACTATAAAATTTCTTTATGTTTAAATCTTATAACCGATTTAGTTCTTATTTTTTTTAGTCAATTAAGTCCAAAAAACCAAAAATTGTATTCATTTCGACTCTTTTATTCGGTCTACAAGTAATCCAACTTTTAAAAATTATATTTTTAGCCCAAATTTTAAATTTTGTTATAAATTTGGTCTAAAATTTACACTTTTAGCCCATATTTTAAATCTTATTATAAATTTGGCCTAAAATTTATACTTTTGGACTAGATTTCAAAAATTTTATTACAAATTCATCATAAATTTAGAGTTATTACATTTTTTTCTTTCAAAATTTTGTTTCGAATATGTTTTTTTTGCTTTATAAAATCATATTTATACAAACACCTCTTTTATAATAAAAGCATTTGTCTACAAATACGTCTTATAAAAAAATGTATACAAATGTGTTTGTATGCATTTTTTTATAAAATTGTTTTTGTATACAAATGCATTTATTATAAAATAGGAGTTTGTATACATTTTTTTTTATAAAATATGTGTTTGTATTCTTTTTTTTTTATAAAAACAAATTATATTTATTTATGTACTTAATAAGTACATATTAGATATTTCGCATACAAAAGTGTTAAGAAAGGTTTTTATATAGAAAAAACAAGGTTTTTTATGTAAAAATATGTTTTTTTGTACAAATATGATTCTATAAAGAAGAAAGACATTCAAAACAAAATTATGAAAAAAAAAATATAAACAACTAAATTTAGGATGAATTCGTAACAAAAATTTGAAATGTGGGCCAAAGGTGTAAAATATTGACCAAATTTGTAGCAGAATATAAAATCTGAGTCAAAAGTATAATTTTTTGAAACTTAAATGACCTGTTTATCGAGTAAAAGGTCAAAATGAGTATAATTTTCAATTTTTGTGAATTAATTGTCCAAAAAATAGATAATGACTAAATCAATTATGAAGCCCTAACCATAAAAAAATATTTCAAACAAATTTCTCATTTAATTTCTTAAACCTTAATTTGGACTTTGAAGTAAGCCTTTTGGACTTTGAAGTTTGGACTTATGCATAGGGGTTATACAAATGTTTTTTCATAGGTTGCATGCATATAAAAAATAAAACATTTTACACTATTCGGAAAAAGTTAACGCGTAGCGCGGACAATCACTGGCTCGTCCGCCCCTGCATGTTCGACTTTTCTATTTGGAGTCATTTTCTTGGGTTACTTATGGTAATGAGCAATGATAAATACAAAAAATAATTAAAACGATGACACAAACTATAATACAATCAATAGTTTTTAACGTACTTTACATCTTTGGTCCTTACATATAGTTTTTTTTTTTTGTTGTTGTAATTTTTGTCCCAATAAAAGTCATTTAATTCGGAACAGAGACAAAAAAATGTTACAAATCTTAAATAAGAACTAAATTTTATTAAAAAAATAAAAAGAAAATAAAACTATGGGATCAAAATTGAAAAAATCAACTATACCCAACAAACAAAAGTGTAATTTAGTCTAAGTTTATATTAATAAAATAATTAAAAATTCTATCAATCAAACACAACAAAATGAATTAACTCGTAAATTGTTATGAATACAAATTACAGTTAAAAATATAACAAAAATTAAGTTGATTTATTGATTATTGAGTAATACTTTATACAGGTGCTTGCATATGCGATGATAAGTGCCGGATCGGCTGCAACGGGTGTGACCAATCTCAATCGAACGGGGATCAAACACACGGCTCTACCCAATTTTTGTAAGCCGTTACATTCCTTTTGTGAACGTGTTGGGGTTTCAATAGGGTTTGCATTCTTCAACTGCGTCCTGCTTGCCATTTCTGCATTTCTTGACGTAGTTTGGCTATCTAGTTAAATGCTCAAGGTCGCTTAGTTTTTCGATTTTCAATAGGAGTGTTTACGTCTAAGATTATGTATGTATTTATTGCAGTATAATGGAATCAATGTAGGCGACCTTTAAAAATATAGATCAATACATGCAGTATTTAACCTTTTCCTATAGTTGTTCACTTCGGAACTAACTCACATCGTCCCATACGAGAAAATCATACAAGTTGTAAATCAGGTAAATTAATGGCATAACAAACGGTGACCACATGGAATTACAACTCCTACAAACATTAATATTTTCTGCAAGTTGAGAAAAGATAAATATGCCAATCATCAATAAACTTACTACCATGAATTTAACATTTTTAAACATCCTAAATGGATTTGGAATACTAATGTTACTTTGTGTTGGGATTCGTGTTTTGGAATTTAATATTCTATATATAGTAATTTCAAACAACAAAATTGTTGGAATTCTAAGTCGAGTAGGACTTGGAGACCAAGTAAACTTGGGACTTTGAAAAGTTGGTTATAGAGTCCTAATACAATTTTATTTACAAGACGGTAATTAGAATCTATATATACCTATCTATAACTGAGTTTATGATTATAAGAACAGATTGTAAAAACATTGGTTTTGAGTGATTTTCCAATTAATCAAATAGTGAATTTTGATTACTTTTGTTTTGCATTCTTGTTTTCTCAACTAGAATTGTTATCAGAACTTGAGTTAAGAAGCTGTGAGATCGAGTTGTTTACCTATTGACGTGCTAGGTCAATATGCCAGACGTAGAAGATGGTGTAGGGCCTCCTCCGGTGAGAGTGAAGGAGGTTGGGACAACCACAGTCGCATGTCTGATGCTTTCTTCCACCAACTATACCGTTTGGGCACTAAGGATGAAAGTAGTGCTCATAATTCAGAAAGCATGGACAACGATTGATCCAAGAACAGTCGATAATGAAGAAAAAAATTACCTGGCAATTGGATTGATGTACCAAGCAATACCGGAATCGCTGATTATGCAACTTGGAGACGTCGAATCAACTAAAGTTATATGGAACTCTATCAAAGCAAGGCATGTCGACGCCGATCGGGTGAAAGAAGCCCGACTTCAAACCCTAAATTCCGAGTTCGACAGATTGATGATGTCAGAGAAAGAATCAATCGATTCCTTCGCCGAGAAATTGTCAGGGATCGCCTCCAAATCGGCATCACTAGGAGAAACCATTGGGGAATCGAAGATGGTGACGAAGTTGTTAAAATTCGTACCAAGAAAGTTTCTTCACATCGTGGCGTCGCTCGAGCAGGTCCTCGATTTGAAGATAGTCGGGTTCGAGGACATCGTCGGGCAGTTGAAAGCTTACGAGGAGAGGGTAAAGGAGGCGGATGACGACGGAGAAGGATCGAAGGTGCTGTTTGTCGATGGTGGAAGCGGGAATCGGAACTGGAGAAGAAAGGGGAAGGCGATGGAGTCTTACGGGTCTGGTGCGACTGGGAATAAAACCCACGGGTTTAATAGATCAAGTGGATCCGGATCCGGTGGGTTATCTAGGTCAGGCGGGCCCAAAGGGAATAATAGGGTTTCTCAAAGTCGTAATCGGCCCAGTAAACAGTCCAACAACCAGCCCATCAATAATAGTGACCTAAACCAGAAAAATAAGAATAAAAAAGACCGATCCAAAATTATTTGTTACCGGTGCAATAAATCGAGCCACTTTGCGTCTCAATACCCAGACCCAATCCAAAAATTACAAGAAAGTAATTTTGCCGAATTTGATGATACCAATTCGGCCGTATTTTTACATGAGACTGTGTTTTTAAATGAAGAGAAGGTGATACCGTCTCGATACGACTCACAAGATAACGATGTATGGTATTTGGATAACGGGGAAAGCAATCACATGACGGGAAACCGGTCATTTTTCTCCGAGCTTGATGAAGGCATAACACGGAGGGTTAAAATCAGAGATAATTCGTGTGTAAAAATCAAGGGAAAAGGTGCTATACTTTTCCAAGGCAAAAGGGGTCAACAAAGGTTGATGACGGAGATTTACTACATACCGGATCTCAAGAACAATATTATTAGTCTCGGACAAGCAACCGAAGCCGGGTGTGATATTCGAATGAAAGACAACTATTTGACATTGCACGATGCCGATAATTGCTTATTAATGAGGTACAAAGAACTCCAAACTTCCTTTATAAAATAAAATTACAAATTGGAGTACCTATTTCCCTTCATTCGAGACTAAGTGAAGATACATGGCGATGGCATGCAATACTTGGGCACATCAATTTCGAGTTAATGAAAAAGATGTCCAAGAGGGGTCTAGTCAAAGGGTTACCCCAATTTGACCATGAGAATCAATTGTGTGAGTCTTTCTTGGTGGGCAAGAAAACAAGAAAGTCATTTCCGACTATGAGGACATACAAAGCAAAACGACCATTGGAATTAGTTCACGGTGATTTATGCGATCCGATCACGCCGGCAACCAAGGGTCAAAATCGGTATATTTTTACACTAATTGATGATTTTTCATGATTTATGTGGATTTATCTCATGAAAGAAAAAAGTGAGGTGTTTACACAATTCAAAAAATTAAAAGCTTTGGTGGAGAATGAAATTGGAAAGCCTTTGAAGGTGTTTAGAAATGATCGAGGAGGTGAGTTTACTTCTCTCGAGTTTAATTCTTTTTGTGATCAAAACGGAGTCAAACGCCACCTTACCGCCCCATACTTTCCACAACAAAACGGAATTATGGAACGAAGAAACCGAACACTTATGGACATGACACAAAGTATAATGAAGGCAATGCATGTTCCAAACTACTTATGGGGAGAAGCGGTAAATCACTCTACATATCTAATCAATCGCGTTTACACAAGAGTCCTTGGTGATACAACTCCATACGAAAAGTTGTATAAAAGAAAACCAAATTTAGAAAATGTTTGTATATTTGGGTGTTTGGCACATGCAAAAGTTGAACCGGTGAATCTAAAGAAGTTGGATGCAAGATCAATACCACTAGTGCATGTTGGTTCCGAACCGGGTATGAAAGCTTATCGGTTATCTAACCCGGTGACACAAAAAATAATCGTGAGTCGAGATGTTATTTTTGATGAAACCAAAGGGTGGGATTGGATTAAAGAAGCGGGAACCAACAATGAAGAACCGGACTCACTCATAATACCATGGGACTACCTAGAAGGTGAGACGAACAACAATCAAGGAAACGAGGTAAACAATGACCCAATGGAACGGATTGAATCAGATCATGAGATTGGAGATAGAGCGGAAGTACAAGATAATGAACAACCAAGTCCAGTCAATAATAATGTTCAACAAGGAGCAGCCAACCAAAGACCCTCAAGAACAAGAGTACCTCCAAGACAATTTCAAGATTATGAGCTTGATCTTGATAATCTCGAAGAACTTCTTCTAACAACCCATGACGAGCCGGTATTGGTTAAAGAAGCGAAGAAAGAACCATAAAGGTTAAAGCCATGAATGCAGAAATCAATTCGATAAACAAAAACAACACTTGGACACTCGTGAACAAGCCTATGGGGTGAAGTCAATTGGACTCAAGTGGGTGTTCAAAATGAAGAAAAATGAAGACGGCACCATTAATAAATACAAGGCAAGGTTGGTTGCTAAAGGTTACGTGCAACAACCCGGTATTGATTTTCAAGAAGTATTTGCTCCGATAGCTCAAATTGAAACCATTCAGTTTCTTGTAGCCTTAGCCGCTACTCATGGGTGGGAGCTTCACCACTTAGATGTTTAAACGACGTTCTTACATGGAGAATTGAAGGAAACAGTTTACATATCGTAACCGGAAGGCTATATAAAGAAAGACAACGAGCATAAAGTATACCGACTTATAAAAGCATTGTATGGCCTAAGGCAAGCACCTCGAGCATGGAACACGAAGCTTGACGGGATTTTGAAGAGTATGAAATTTCAAAAGTGCATGAAAGAACCATCGGTGTACTGGAAAAGTGAAGGATCTACCTTGCTAATTTTAGCAATTTATGTTGATGATTTATTTGTCACATGTACAAATTTGAGCATGATCAAGAGGTTCAAATTAGAGATGTCTAGGAACTTTGAGATGTCGGATCTTGGAAGATTGACTTATTACCTTGGTATTGAAGTTAAGCAAGAGGAATCAGGGATTACTATAAACTAAGAAGCATATGCTCAACACATTCTAAAAGAAGTCGGTTTACATGATTGCAGTCCGATCCATATTCCAATGGAATCAGGAAATAAATTAACAAAGGCCGAAGATGAACCCGAAATCGACCCGACACAATATCGAAAGGTGGTGGGATGCCTTAGATATCTCTTGCAAACAAGACCCGATATGGCATATGCGGTTGGAGTTGTTAGTCGATACATGCCAAGTCCAAGAGAATCACATGGTGTTGCAATCAAGCATATCCTATGGTGGTTACGAGGAACAACGGGATACAAAATCAAGTACGAGAAGATGGGACAAAACCGACTCATTGCTTATAGTGATAGTAGTCACAATGTTGACCCGGATGATGGAAAAATCATAACCGATCACATTTTCTACTACGGGTCATATCCAATTACATGGTGTTTGCAAAAGCAAGATACCGTTGCTTTATCATCTTGCAAGGCGGAGTTCATGGCAGCCACGACAACCGCATGTCAAGCAATATGGCTTCAAGATTTACTTTGAGAAATCATGAACAAAGCGCAAGAGAAAGTGGTTCTAAGAGTTGATAACAAGTCGACTATCAAACTAACGCAGAATCCCGTTTTTCATGGAAGGAGTAAACACATTCACATGAGGTTTCATTTTATTCGTAATTGTGTTGAAAACGAACAAGTGGAGGTGGAGTACATTCCCGGTGAAGAACAAAGGGCAGACATTCTTACCAAACCACTAGCTCAAACCAAGTTCAAGGAAATGAGGAGCTTGATCGGGATCGAAGATATCTCTAGAAGGACTTAGAGATTCGGGGATGATTGTTGGAATCCTAATTCG